AAGTCGATCAAGTGGGGGATCGTCTGGGCAAGTCGATCAAGTGGGAGATCGTCTGGGCAAGTCGATCAAGTGGGTGATCGTCTGGACAAGTCGATCAAGTGGGGATCGTCTGGGCAACTAGATCAAGTGGGTGATCATCTGGGCAACTAGATCAAGTGGGTGATCGTCTGGGCAAGTCGATCAAGTGGGGGATGGTCTGGGCAAGTCGATCAAGTGGGGGATGGTATGGGCAAGTCGATCAAGTGGTGGATGGTATGGACAAGTCGATCAAGTGGTGGATGGTATGGGCAAGTCGATCAAGTGGGGGATGGTATGGGCAAGTCGATCAAGGAGGGATGGTCTGGGCAAGTCGATCAAGGGGGGATGGTCTGGACAGGTCGATCAAGTGGGGGATCGGCTGGACAAGTCGATCAAGTGGGAGATCGTCTGGACAAGTCGATCAAGTAGGAATCGTCTGGGCAAGTGGATCAAGTAGGGGATCGTCTGGGCAAGTCGATCAAGTGGGAATCGTCTGGGCAAGTCGATCAAGGGGGATGGTCTGGGCAAGTCGATCAAGGGGGGATCATCTGGGCAAGTCGATCAAGGGGGAGATCGCCTGGGCAAGTCGATCTAGTGGGGGATCGTCTGGACAAGTCGATCAAGTGGGGGATCGTCTGGACAAGTCGATCAAGTGGGGGATTTCTGGACAAGTCGATCAAGTGGGGGATGGTCTGGGCAAGTCGATCAAGGGGGGATGGTCTGGGCAAGTCGATCAAGGGGGATGGTCTGGGCAAGTCGATCAAGGGGGGATCATCTGGACAAGTCGATCAAGGGGGATCGTCTGAGCAAGTCGGCCAAGTGGGGGATCGTCTGCGCAAGTTAATCTAGTAAGTAATAAGCCTGGCAAAGATTATCTTGTAACCTTATAAAACCAGGCCAATAACGTCCTTTTTGTATCCATTCGAGGCCGAAATGGGGAGTGATGTGGATTAATGAATTGGAACGGTTTAACTAGGATGAAGACTTCAAATATATTGAAGTGAGGGGAGGTGAAATAGAAGAGTGTGATATTGGTCAATGAAGGATTAGTTTAAGAGGTAATGAAATAAAGTTGTGTCGTTGGGTTCACTAGGGAACGGGCTGGCAGCGATTACGACATGGAGGAAGACGCGGGAACTGCCACCCGACGGCAGAAGACTCCACGTGAACATCGCAAGGACCGGTTGCCGGTTGTCTCCATGCAGGACGTGCTGCAGATAATGACGGTACGAGTCGACGAACCCGAATGCGAACGTGGGAGAAACCGAGGAGATGGATATATTCGAAGTTTATTTGCGATTTCAATTTCCCAGGACTGGAAACTTGCTGAGGATTTAATTAATGTTTCATTGGTTTCCTTTATAATGTAATCGATAAATGTTTGTAAGTATCATTTGTGAATTTACCGTACTTGAAAATCGTCAAAGCGGTCAATAATTTTATTTACAGCAGTGCGATTCCGATTGCCTCAACGATGAGTCATTTAATCTCAACACATTTCGTTATTATTATTATGATCTTATAAATGTATTGTTATCTTATAAATAATATGATTATGGTTATTACATTTCCCATTGCAAGATAATAAATCAAGATTTTGACAGGGAAACTCCCGGTCAGGCGGTATTCATGAAGTACGACAGTTTGAATCTTCGAAAACCGTGCATAGTTGATAACTGTCGGTTGGTTACTTGAAGGAAGAGAACGATGTGAAACAAACTATAATTAATGACACATTGGAAGATCTAGCATTATAATACAATGTAAATGTAAATGATGGCGCGTGTGCAGGCGTATCAGGTGTGGCGGACGTCCTGGGTAACTGGCGGTGAGTGGGATGGAGGCGTGTTGGAGATTGATAACGTATGGCTGTGAGGTGGGGGCGTATGTAGGCGTCAGCAAGCGTCGTGGTCGTCATTGGCGTGGAATGCTGAATGAGTGGGTGTGTGCGTGGTGCAGGCGCAGTGGTAGATGAACGGGGAGGGAGGGGCGGGCAGGTGCGTCGGCGTGCTGCAGGCGGCCGAGGCGCGGCGCCGCTTCGCGCCGTCGTGGGCGTTCGTGGCGTGGGAGCTGGACCGTGCGTGGTTCGGCTGCGTGCTGGACTTCTTCTTCGAGTTCCAGGGCTGGCCCCGCGCCTCGCAGCTCCCGCGCGCCCTCCACCTCGCCTGCCAGGTGCCTCCCCTCCGCTCTTAGCCACAGATTGCGATGGCCACCTGTACTACAAGCAATATTACTATGGTGCAATATTGCAATGCAGCAAACACATTAACAACACGGGCTAAATATTTCAATGCATTTATTTGTTCTTAAAAAACACTAATTTTCAATTGTTTTCTTCGTTTCTTTTTCATTAGGAATTTCTCTATATCCTTCTTCAGAGTTCATCCTGTCTCCTTACTTGATTATGCATTGTCTTCTTGTGTCTAATTATCGAAATACATTCTAATATCTTCTCACCATTCAGGGCCTCTGGCACTGACAGAGTACAATCTCGCTCTCCGAAGGCCCTTGCACTTTCCTAAAAATATAAGAAATGCTCTTGGTAGTGGCGTGATGCAAGTTATTCGCTGTTCCGTTCGGCACGGTAGATATCGACAGCCGCGTGCTTCCGCTGCCTACGTAGGCCTCAACGTGTTTCGTTACGCGGAATTTGAAGTAACGCCGAGCTTGAAACTGAATCGCCGCCACCAGTTGTTACCCTCGGAGGACACGGCCTGTATTTGCAGAGAAATTGAGTGACAAAATGTCCGCTAACGTCACCTCAGGGAAACTTCGATTGTGACATTTGGCTGACGATTTCTTTTTTAAGCTGCCTGGTGTTGAAATTTGTAGTGATGTATTATTTTATAGGGAGACACATATTTCAGGACATTGTATTTCCTAAGTTCACTATAGACGAGGTTCGTGTTCATTATGGCCAAATCATCTAAATGCTTATTTGTAATGCAAGTGAAAGAGGACCAGTGACTTTTGTTCACTATAACCGAGTGCACTATAACCGGTGTTGACTGTACTTAATATCATTAAGATCGACGTTGAAGCAGATGTTCCCCGCCAGGCAGCGTCGCTGTCGCTCAAGGAGCTCTACGTGCAGGAGCCGTTCGCGCCCGTGTACGTGCGAGCGCTGCGAGACATCGATCGCGACTGGTTCGATTGGGCCGTCGACCTCTTCTTCGGCACCGGTCACTGGCCTCCCTTCGGGCAGCTCCCCAAGACCCTACAGGTGAGGTGCCGTGCCAAATCGCAATACTTAGATCTCTTTGCTTGGAGCCACTTCGCAGCACTTCTGAGAGACGCGTGTACTGATAAAGCATTGGTTGAAAAGGAGGTACTTACACGAGCGGCGCACTCCCGCCATCGACACCACTGACACCATCGACACACAGAACACATTTCTAAATGGCAGCCTTCACGCTTGGCCAACCGGACGTATCGCTGAGCCTAGTGTCCCTTCACAAGGTTCAACTCAGCAGCGCTTCCGAGAGGCGTGTCTGCTAGTAAAATATTGGTCTAAATGGAGGTATTGACATGAGCGACGCAGTGGCGCACTCCCGCCACCGGCAGCCCAGACGCTCTTCCGTGCTACCGATATTTCTAAATGGCTGTTTTCACCGCAGTCCACTCGGACGCGTCTCTGAGAGTAGCTGTTTATACTTTGCCTGGCGTCCGCTGGCGCCCACTGCCGCGTAATTCTGGAATCCTCTCTCTCTCTCTCTCTCTCTCTCTCTCTCTCTCTCTCTCTCTCTCTCTCTCTCTCACGCTCAGGACGATGGTTGTGAGTGAAGGGCCCAGCGCTTCTCAGTGGCGCTGCCGACTGGCTACGTGTGAAGGCGTCTTCTAATGGTGTCCTGCGGTGGCATTTTTTCTCTTATTTTTTATTTGAATGCCTGCCACTGTGAAAAGCCTGAAATCGTTCTATACTGTCACTAAAATTATTCGCGAAGAACATTTGATCGGAACTAAATTTTAAAATATTATAAGACATTAAATCCATTTATTGATCTCACGGTTGATACTAAATCTATATTCGTCACTGTCCTTCATTTTCACAAGACTTGTACCCCATTTACTTTGTTCTGGTGAGGGCAGAGGAGCTGTTGGTAACTTGCACGCGGGGCGGGCATAAGGCAGTCCTGCGAGCCTCATCGCAGTTTCACTGATAGTGGTACACTTTTCCTCTTCCTCATCCAGCCCGAACCTGCGCCGACAGAGGGCTAAAACTTCTCCTTTCAATGAAAGTGCTGAGAAAAAAATACGCTGAAATTACGCCCAACTAGCGTTGAATACCAACATTACTGCCGGAATTTTGAAAAACGCATTTACTTTATACGAAGGGAAGTATTCCACCCTGAATTGAACCGACTAAGTTAGCTTAGAAAAAATGAAACAAATTATTGCCGCTGCCGTGCTCTGGTCGGTATGTACAAGTGATCGAGTCCTGATATTGGTGGCGAACGATTTGATTCTACCTAGAAACCTAGGTCGAATATAGCAAGTGTAAAGAGAATCATTGAAATTGGTTTCTGTAATCGCCTTCTTCGATCAACACCAAGTGAATGCCAGAACCGTTAAGTAACAATAGAATCACGGATCGCGGGCGATCTTCTGTACCTCAGGTTTGAGATAATGGCTAGGAAATTGCCCCATGCTCTTCCCATCTACACGCCTATCTACTACCACACATGTCGAGAGGGCAGTCAGGAGCTTAGAGCTTGTCCTGGCTGGCGCGATGCCCCTCTGGTGGGAGATGCCTGGCTGGGGAAAACCCTTGTATCCGACGGTAGGTCGACGCCGCATGTCACCATCCAAGGGAGATGATTACTTCCACCTCCCGTGATAATACATGCACTACAGTCGGGACGAATGACCATGGCAGTTGTCGCGCCCAGAATCTCCAACCCAATAAATGCCCACCCCAGACTCAAAACAAGTGAGCAAGTGCAGAGCGAGCGCGCGCGCGTGCGCGCGTGTGGCGTGCGCAGGAGGCGTGCCTGGACGTGGGCGTGGCGAGCAGCGTGGAGGGCGCGTCGCCGCACGCCAGCCGCCACGGCACGCGCCCGCGCCCGCGTGACGCTCCCCCGCTGGCCGAGCTCTTCGAGGACGCCACGCTGGGACGCAAGGTGCCCTCGGGCAAGGACGTGCTGCAGCTGGAGCGGCTGCTCGAGCGACTCAAAGCCATCAGAGGCACCAACTCCCACACGCTGGATTCGAAAACCGATTGACCGACTCTCTTTATAGCAACTCGTGTTTTGTTATATTGTAGTTAGGGCGATGCACCTCTGGTGGGAGACACAATGGACATATGTTTCTTTTTGTACCAACTTTATGAACTGTAATTATCGAGATTACTATAAAAAATTGATTAAATTAAGATGAAAGTATTTTTTATTGATGGTGATGTTACTCGTAATGGTTCATTATACAATACTTCGGAAACGAATTAAAAAATCTCGTATACGTAAAGTGAATTACCATGGACTCATGGTTACGGTGTTTAGAATTGAACTGTTATACCCAAGTTTTCTGGTTCGTTCGAAGCTGTGAATTTTTAATGACAAAAAAATTCTACTTACCCCTTCCTTCTGAGGAGAGGTAGCGCGGGCAGTCCCATATTGCAGACTTACAGCATGGAAGAGATTGTGACACTTAAAATAATCCTCTGAGTAAAATTATAATCGCTCATTTCAGCAGCTGAGAGATACATCCTTTTCGACTTGCCCAGACGATCCGCCAGTTGATCGACTTGCCCAGAGCATTCCCTACATGATCGACTTGCCCAGACGCTCCCCTACAAGATCGACTTGCCCAGACGATCCCCTACATGATCGACTTGCCCAGACGATTCGCCAATTGATCGACTTGCCCAGACGACCCCCTACATGATCAACTTGTCCAGACGATCCCCTACATGATCGTCTTGCTCAGACGATCCCCTACATGATCGTCTTGTTCAGACGATCCCCTACATGATCGTCTTGCTCAGACGATCACCCTCATGATCGACTTGCCCAGGCGATCCCCTACATGATCGACTTGCGCAGACGATCCCCTACATGATCGTCTTGCTCAGACGATTACCCTCATGATCGACTTGCCCAGACGATCCCCTACATGATCGACTTGCCCAGTCGATCCCCTACATGATCGACTTGCGCAGACAGTCCCCTACATGATCGTCTTGCTCAGACGATCACCCTCATGATCGACTTGCCCAGACGATCCCCTACATGATCGTCTTGCTCAGACGATCACCCTCATGATCGACTTACCCAGACGATCCCCTACATGATCGACTTGCCCAGACGACCCCCTACATGATCGTCTTGCTCAGACGATCCCCTACATGATCGACTTGCCCAGACGATCCCCTACATGATCGACTTGCCCAGACGACCCCCACTTCATCGACTTGCTAACACGATCACCCACTTGATAGACTTGTGCATACTCCCCCTAACTCCTCCTTGTTCGACGGTCGTAGACGATCCATCGCTTAATCGACTTGTACTTGATTGATTTTCTGCAAAACTTATATTTCTTGATCGATCTGGGCGAACAAGCGGCACTGCGAGTTTGAAACATTTTAAGTTTTGGGGGTATTTTTCATAAATTCTCAACATTTTCAATCTTTTTGAAAAATGGCTTCAGTTCCTTTTGTTTAATTTGTTCTCAGGTAGGGCAAATGATGCTTCTTTAGCGTAGGTATTTTCGTCGAAGTTCATGTATTCTTAAAATTGCAAAAATTCAAAACTTACTTACCTTACTACAACTGAAGGTAGAGATTTTTCCTGAATGGCATCTGTTCTGCAAAAACCAATTCTTCATATACAATTGTTCGAAAATAGGAGTACTTTGAGCATAATTTTGTATGAAATGTCGGAAATTTTCACACAATTATTTTCCTAAAAACTGCCCAAAATTTTCCTTTAGATTTTTCTTCATATGTTTTAATATATTTTCATAATTTCGGAAAATAACATTCCAAGAATACAATATTGATAGAGATTTTTTAAATTAAATTGTTCTAGAATAGTTGATCTTTCAATAATGTCAAGTACATTTTTTTTAAAATGACATTTTTTCGTATTTTCTTGCTTGAAGTGAATGCAAAGAATCTTTTTGAAAAAAGAGGTTTAATTTTTTTATTTAAATTTTTATTCGGTTAATTAAATATTTCTTTTTTTCGTATCCTATTCTTCTTTTGGATTCTTTTAGAAATTACATCTCAATATTGAGAGAGTAACGTGTTTTAAAAATGTTCCATTGGTAAGGATCCACGGTACGAAGTTGATCGACCCTAGTTTTTTTTCTAATGTTCCACAGGCCTATTCCGCAATTGTATGTCGACGATTTAAATGTGATTTACTACTACTGGCTGTATTGTTTTTAATAAGGGAAATTTTGATAATCTGTTGTGGTACATTTTCTTCTTTTATTTGGTTTTCGCTTCTTTACAATTATATGTATTTTGCGTTGTTGTGAGAGTTTTCGACTTGTTTTCCAAATGTAAATGTATTTAAAATTATATTTCGTGGAACTTATAGTCTGGCATCTTGGCTGTGCCAGAACCATTGCTTTCTCGGTTGTTGGTGTGCAGTTGGTTTCCATGCAACGGCTCACGGTCGTGCGAACATCATGCTGAAAATGTCCACCTCGTGCGAGAGCATGAACAGCTATGTAGACCGCCATCTTGTTAAGGCGCAATCCTCAATCGCGAATCTGCGTGGAAAATGGGTGAGACGGCGCCTCCAGCCCTCCTCACGCCTCTGGTCGAATGCGCAACACCGCAAGCGCATATCCACCTCAAGCAGGCACTATCCAGCAACGGGCCGTTTGCGCATAGCGCCACATGTAAGATATTACAGCAGGTAATGACGTAAAGTGAGTTACATTGCGTTGGTTGAGGACTAGACTGTTGAAGATCCAATTTTTCAACAAAATTTAAGATTTCTATTTCATTGTGTTATATGTCCCTACGATCCCTTTGCATCAAGCCAAATTGTAAATGTTCCTTTCCATAAACTTACAGCAAATCCGTTCCGTATTTACATCCCTTACTTACCATACACACAAAACCTTTAAATTTCTCTCTTAAAGAATTTAGTAAAATTGACTTGATTATCTGAATCTGACTTGTGCTCCTGTTCTGTACATTAACCTTTATCAATGGTAGATTCTTCTCCCTTATCGTATTGAGTCGACTGCGAAGTCGCGAGATCGGTGAACGAAAGTGAAGAACGATTGTTGGAGAAAACGATACTTCGGGTCGTAGTTCAAATAAGTATGGCACGTTTTAATTAATTAAAAAAATATTCGGACATGAAGTGAGTTGTAAAGTATGCATTGGGTAGACTAAAGGATTATTTTATCTTAATTGCATAGGCATAAGTTTCGTTGTGAAAGTAGACTCGAGTTGTGCAGCGTCACTGTGCCTTAAAAGTTTGAGGTTATAAATGCGACGCCATTCCGCACGTAGACCCGTGGAGTTGTTCGCCATGTTTTCTCGGAAATGATTATCTTTCGTTTGTTCCTATAAGGGAGAATAGTTAGATTTTAACACGCAGTTTGTAAACGTTTGTTGTAAAATAGAGTAAATTGTGCAGGACGAGTTATTAACGTGGTAACCAACCGTTAGCGCCAGTTATAGCCAAACCTTAGTTCAAGTCCACCAGTACATGGGAGCTCGCGAGATAGGTCCCGCTCAATGATGTATATAATAGGTCCAGCAACGTGCTTGAAACTTGCCATTAGGATTAACATTTCCAATTTTTCTGGCGTCTGCTAGAATAGACTACAAAATATAAATAACAAATCAAAGGTAATGACCGTTGGTAAAAGCAATACATGGAATAAAAGTAACGTATTTACTGTAAGCAAAGTTGGGTGCAATTAAACGTCCACATGAATTTGCCTTTTGCAGTGCTGTTGTTTTCCTCATGACCTATATTTTTGAAGACTGGACCCAGAGGCCTTCTTAAATGTTTGTTTCGATAGCCTACTTATATAAACATCTATGCATATATTCATTATTTCAGGCAAGTCTCTGTTAATATCACCGGCTTGTTCAAAAAAATGCCTCTCTCAAGCTCGTCAAGGAATTTCCCAAGTAAAGCGATAATTTTTCTGCTTTTATGTTTTATTTTCAGAGCTAAAAGTACCTCAATGGTGTACCAATAAAAGTGTCAGGAATGCGCAGAAACCTATGAACATGAAGTTCTGCAAACTGTTCCATTATTTCCAAGAAAGTTACATGACATCAAAAATGCCATGTAATTCAATATTATTTTCTTATCAGTGATCGATATGCACATTTTATTTATTTAATGTGAAAGCTGGGTTTCTCGACTTACAATCACTGCATCGTATTTTTCATTCTAAGATCTACAATAAAGGTTTTTTCATAAAATAATTGTTAATTTTCATTCTGATTTATTTTTTGTGATAATTAATAGCTAGGCAAGATGTCTTTTTCAATAAAATTAGCCTCTACTAATGCAAAATGCGTCATACATTATTAAAATGAATTGAATATTATAATTATTGATAATGAAGTAACAAAATATTCTACAGTTTTGGTAATCCAATTCATGTTAGTTCTTGAATATTTTGTCGCATTACATTACAGACTTTTTTTGCTCATAAGATGTCCTAGAGGGAACCGACTAAGAATTGTACCAATCCATTTGTCTTGTCGAGAGGAATCGAATGAGCTATCGATGACCTCTCGCAAGTACCATATGTCACTCGATAAGCGTTCGAATAACGTAATATAACAATCAGTATTTTAGAGAAATGTCTTAGAATCTTCTATATATCCGCAAAAATAATAATTCCCAAGAAGAGATAGAGGCGTGTGGAATGCCAGTTCATTTACCTCCATTGCTAGACCGGGAGTCTATCCGTGAGTGATGTACGGTAGTTCGCAGGTTACTCGATTACTGCGTGAGGATTAGCGGGCTTATTGTCGAAGTCTCTACGCGACGTCCACTGCACTGTTATAAAATATGAAACCCTTTTCAGTGAATTTATCAGTGCCCGCCATGTAAGGCGGCATGTTCAAACAACTGCCGCCCCTTCAATAACTTCAAAAATGGACCACTACCAGAAGACCTCAGCGAGGTTCCACCCGGACCTTGAGGCGAGAGACTCACCCTAAACCTTGACTTCCCTTCGCACAGGTCACCACAACGCTAGAACTACGTAAGTGTTGACACCACACAGCTCCAATGAATCAGACAACGATTTCTAGTTTATTTAAGCACAATGCTTGCTCTCATGGAGTTGTTTAAAATAGGGGCGAATTCAGAGCCAAATTGTGGGAGGGGAAATTCAAAATGTTTTGGTCGAATGTGTTATATCACCGATTTTGTAAA